GGAAAAGGGAGCAACTCCACGAGTATTTGTTCAACATTTGCAACCCACTGCTTGAAGTGTAAAGATCATTTTGGCTTGTGTCAGTCCCAGCCACTCGCAGCTCCAGTGGGGAAACAGCCCTGCTTTAAAAAGCTCCGCTGTGATAATTTAACTCATCATTAACCCTAATGATGCTTTGTGGGTCTCAGAACTGGGGTGAGCTCAGCCACAGCCAGAGAGAGCGCAACAAGGATTCCAGCTGTGCTCCAGATGGCTTTGCCTTTAAATTCCATTTCAGGGCAGTAACTCTGGTTTTCTACTTCTTAGTTGGGTGCAACTCAGTTGGAATGGCGGTGCCTTGCTCACTTGTTGAGCCTTGTAGGTCTTTTGCTTCAGAAGTTATAAATCTCTTAAATAGGAATATACCATCCTGTAAGTCTTTATGGAGCAAAGGATGTCTTCTGCACTTGAATCTTCTACATAGCTTCACCAAGCCCTGGTGTTTGCTGGAGTTTGTGGTTATTTTGTCGTTGTTTTTACACCTACTGCATAAAGAAAATACCTGCAACACCTTTATTTTTACTCTGATAGCCATAAACCCATATACATACATACATACATATGTGTGTGTGTGTGTATATATACATATATATACATATATATATATATGAAAAACTACAAGTAGTGAAAGACAGAAAAGAAAAAACAAAGAGCTAAATACTACCATACATTCATCATGCCAAATTCAGCCACTTTTTCTCAGAATTTTCTGGTGTCTGGAATAAATATTGATATTCTGTCTTCCCCAATGTAATATTGCTTCTCTTCAGAAATACCAGCTAAACACATCTCCCTGGTTTTTTTCTTTATTTTCTCTTTTATTGAGGCATTTTTGACAGATTTCTGCTTGTTTCAGGTGAAAAACTTCTTGACATAATGCATACATATGGTAAATATTGACTTTGGGAGTTTGTGGCTGTTAAAATTTACAATTCCCTAATGCCAGCTTTAATTTGGGATTTGCTTAGGATCTCTGTGCTTCTCGGGACAACTAATCTCCATTATTTACCATGGGGTTCAGTATTAAAACACACATCATTTAATTCTATAATTGTATCACTTTTCAGGCACATGCACTGGTTTTGTATGAAAATGGTTCTCCTGAATTCAGAAAAATGTGTTGTAACTTTCAGCTTCCTTTCAAAAAAAGCAGGAAGTGATTACCTGAACCTTCCTTCTTTTTTTAAAAAAAGTAGAAAGGGATTACCTGTATCTGCTCTGCCAAAGTGGGATATCAATGCAGTGCTGTAGGCAGAAATTTGAATTAACATTCCTGAGATACAGCCAGATAATTTCCTGTGTGCTTTAAAGCTTTGCATTTAGTTGCATCTTCTGATGCTCCAACTCATCAAGTGACTGAGGGATGTGTTTGTAAAGGCCTGGATGACCATTATACATGAAATTATAAAACCACTGTTGTACTTAATGGGGTCAGTGAAGCAATCAGGATAAAAATACATAATTCTGCAGCGTGAGCCTGTAAGCATGATACTTCTTAGGCTTTTTAAGTTCAATGAAGCAGCTACTCAGCAGCTGAACATTCTTGTTAAACAGTCTCAGCATGGATTTTAAAACTAAAACTGAACACCATGGTCTCCTTGGAGAGTCTGTGGCTCTTATTCTCTTGAAATGTCTGCATCTTTTATATGTTAATGGTTTTGACATCAGCCATTTTCTTCATTTTCATTGTAAATGAGGCCCAGAGCCCAATTCCCTGCCCCATTCCCTGGACGCTCTCTGCCCTGTAAGCTGTCTCGTCAGCCTCCAGCTCCTTCCCTGGGGGATGTGTGGTCTGAAAACAGCTGAAGTCATCCTGCAAAACAAACCTATTTTCCTCTTTTAGATGCCTTTCTAAGAACATGGGTCCCTGTGGGAAAACTTATGTGGTGCAAATGGTCCGGCATCCACACCAGTCCTCACGTGCCCCAAAATCTTTCTGCCAAGGCCGCCCCTTCAGGGGGCTTCCCCAAGTTGGTGCTGCTCTTCCTCAAATCCAACAGAGCCAAAATACAGGGTTTTACCTAAATCCTTGGAGAAACACCCCTGTTTACAGGGTTTTGTTCATGTTTGGCTTTTAAAGGTTCTTCTCAGCTGCAGTGCTGACACCATACAGCCGTGGTGAGTGACGCAGAACACTTTTTTTGAGGAGGAAACTCCTGATTTTAACATGGGAATATTATCATTGCAACCTGCAAGGTTTACACAGGACTGCAGCCAAGTGTGCCAGGGCATGCTAGGGAACCTTTTCCCCCTTTTGCAGAGGGATTAACCCACCCTGTGTGTGCGTTTGTGGGGCCTGACCCAAAGGGGAGGAGGGCAGGGACACAGCCTGGTGGAACCCTCCAGGACAGGCACACCCAGCCAGGAGCATCCATCCCACCATGGTATCAGCAATTTGCACACTCAGGCTCCTTCTGGTTGGAATCTGAAATGCAGGGAAATCTCAGAACTTTAGCCTGTAAGCCAAAGCTTACAATTAAACAAAAATTTGATCTGAGACCTGTGATGGTGTTCACGGAGGTTTTCAGGTGAGGGAAGAGATGAGAATGTTGACTTCATGTTCAGAAGGCTTGATTTATTATTTTATGATATATATATTACATTAAAACTACACTAAAAGAATAGAAGGAAAAGTTCACATCAGAAGGCTAGCTAAGAATAGAAAAGAATGATAACACAGGCAGCTGCCTCAGACTCTGTCCAAGCCAGCTGGACTGTGACTGGCCATTAATTACAAACAACCACATGAGACCAATCACAGATGCACCTGTTGCATTCCACAGCAGCAGATAACCATTGTTTACATTTTCTTCCTGAGGCCTCCCAGCTTCTCAGAAGGAAAAATCCTAAAGAAGGATTTTTAATGAGAAGATGTCTGCGACAGAGGCCTTGGAAAAGGCTCCCAAACTGAGACGCTAGAGGTGAGAATGTGGATTTATAGTTTAGAGCAGACACGCGTTAAGTGGAAGAAAGTTTAGAGTTTTAGAGTTTAGGATATAAAAATGAAAGTAGTTCCAGAGGTAAACAAGGAGTTTAGAATGCAGCGCTGTAGGTTTGTGTGTCATAACATGGTTGGCTAAGGAAGCTTACACGGTAGCATGGGTCCATATGACAAAATATTTAAGGATTGGGTCAAAAACATAAATATCCTTGTTGGCAGTGTTTTGTTGATCGATAAATCCTTAAAAGGTCTTGTAATTAGGGGTTCTGTAACCTTCTGAGCCATGGGGTGAAGATGTGAGCCAAATTCACCCTTCCTACCTATGCAGAAGATAAGAAAAATAAACCACATCATCAAAAACAACTCAGAAGTCCTGTCTCAAATTCCATCCAAAATTCCCCACAAGTGGATAATCACACTTGTTCCCAGCACAACCCTTCCTTCCCAACTGCCATGTGTGAAAGCACTGTGCAAAACACACAGTGATGTGAGAGAGCGCAAAGCAGAGGAGAGAGGCACGGGCAGCCTGTGATTTCTGCCTCACCTTGTGGCATAAATTACTGCTGTGCAGGCTGTGATTAAGCAGGTTTGTGTGACTAAAACCCTGTACAGGATTAATTGCCAGGTCTGTGCTCTGCTGTGGGCTGGTGATAGAAGACACTAAGCAGCATGGAAGTGTTTTCAAAGGGGATTTGAAGCCAATCGGCCATTTTCTCCTCCAGCACATAACTTTCCCCCTCGGCAGAGAGTGGCAGCCTTAAATTTGGAAGCGCACAGACTGTATATACCTTTGAAACATTTGGAGGGGGAGTGACAAAAGGTTCAGCCTCTCTGTTTATCACTCATGACTTCAGGAGTGTGCAGAGAGGAGAAGGCAAGGTTGCTGCCTTGCTGCTTGTGGGATGTGCAGGCTGTGTTTCTCTGTGACACCTGTCATGATCACAAACGGGTTCGTGATGGTTCGTGAGGTGATCTCAGGGTGCAGAAAGAACCCACACGGCACAGGGGGTTTGTGGTGATAATCAAAACAAATGTACCTTTATTGAATGACCACAGCAAAATGCGATAGAGGGATTATGGGAGAGAAAAAGATAGAGAAAGAGAGAGAAAAGAGAGAGAGAGGGATATAACTACCAAATGTAGAGACGAAGTCCTTTGGTCCAGTCCAATTGAGGATCTGCCTATTACGTTGGGGAGATCTCAGAGGCACAGTTCATCTGAACCCCAATTATACTCTTTTTGATGGGGGGAAGGGGGGTGCATTTTTCAATTGAAACAAGTGTAGTTTACTGTATCTTCAGGGAGGAAAATAAGGGTACACACAGTCCGAGTTTGGCAGCAGGCGAGAACCATTGTTTTCGTGGTCCACTGCCTACACCTGCAACATCCATCTTGCTTTGGGCAGCTTTCCTCCCCCCCTGCACACCTCCCCCAGGTTTGGGGGTTTCAGTCCCAGTCTCTGGAGGAAGGTGAGAGGGGCCTTCTCACACAGGGATTTCATGTCTCAGTCCCTTGATGAAGAGACTTCTTACATCTCTCCTTGTCTGTCACGGTGGTTATGAACAGGTGAGAGGGCTCTTCCTTTGGAGGGGGACCACCCTAAAGCTGAGGAGCAATCCAGCCAGGCCGAGGGGTGAGGAGGATTCCAGAGCTATTGTGCAAAAGGGCAGGATGCCCTCTGAGCTCAGTGTAGCATACAGCAAACAACACCTGTGGAAACAGTAACTTAGCACTATGCTTTCCGGTCTCAGGGCCTTTGGTATGTGTGACTTTCTCCTACAAAGCCAGAGATTCAAGACAGGGGGTCCTCTCTTCAGTGGTCCCCAGTGACGATCGTAGGGCAGATGAGGGAAAATTTGGACAGACTCTCACAACACCCAATACTGCAAACCCCCTTTCCCTGCTGAGTTGCTTCAGGAACCGGGGGTGGGCACTGAGGGATGCTCCTTCTCACGCCTGCTGTTGGTCAGCCAGGGAGGGATGTGCCGCACAACGCCTCCGTGTCCCCGTTCCTGCCTAGATGGGGACCCTCTGCCCAGCGCCATGAGGAGCAACCGCTGCAGCCACCTGCCTGGAGTGCCTCCAGACCATCCCCAGCCTGCAGCCCCCGATGGGAAGAGCCTGCCTGGCAACAGCGGGGGCCTGGCCACCAACTGCCCCCAGTATGTCATGCAGGTGTCCTCCAAGGATGGGCAGCTGCTCTCCTCCGTGGTGCGGAGCCTGGCCGTGCAGAGGTGAGTGAGGGGCAGAGGGAGGGACCAGCCCTTGCCATGTGGTGTGTGGCTAAACCCCCATTCCATCATCCTTGCTGCAGGATGCATCAAGCTTCCTAAACAGCTGAGCAGCTACACAAGCTGCTTCTACACCAGTGCTGCAGCTTCTGTCGTTGTCCGAGGGATTGACCTTTCTTTTTGCTGCTGGTTTAGAGAGGCAGATTAGTGGTGAAATACACTGTTAATCTATGCCTTTGAAGCATGCTTAGGCTGGCTTTGTTCTCATTAGAAGCAAGAAGGGTATTCTGATGTGCTTGGCCTTATCCAGACTTGATACTTGGGTCAAAATTAAATTTGTCTTTGCTGGTGGTGGTGAGCTGGAAAGATTTCATGGATCTTTAAGCAGTGCAGAAGAAATATCCACCTGCAGCCCCACAGCAGGGCTGTGTTTGGCACACATCTGCTTGTATCCCTCCTTGACCTGCCTGTGGGCTGTCCCAAAGAGAGGGAAACCCTTTCCAGGGCGAGGAGGTTTCTGCCTTCATGTGCTTTTCTGAAGTTGTGGCCCTGCCTTTGGGGTGCTGCAGGGCAAGGTGCTGCTCCTTCAGCAGTCCCTCACTGTTGGCCAGTGAAAATAACATTTATGTATCGAAACAGCACAATCCCTGTGGCAGGGAGGAATGATAAGGACACTTCCAGCTTATCAGAAGGCATATTATATTATATTATATTATATTATATTATATTATATTATATTACATCTAAACTGAATCTGCCAAGCACTCAACTTTGCACACAATTGCACTCTAACTCCACAAAATTTCATGGCTGTCACCCAACATACACACACACACACACTTGGCCCCGATAGGCCAAGGAAACAAAACACCATCACCTTGGGTAAACAATCTCCATATTGCATTTGACTTCTGCACAAACACAGGCACAGCAAATAAGATAAGAGGTTCAGAAAATGTGAAACCCAGAAATATTCTGGGGAAGAATTGTGTCTTGCTTTTCTCTGTGGGGAGAAATGTGGCTACATTTATGTCAGAGGATCACCAAGAAGTGCCCAGCTGAGGCAGATTTACAACCTCCCTGATGCACTTTGGGATTTCCTGAGGTGGCTGCACTACTGCTTTGTGAAGAGCTGGGAAATACAAAATACAAAAGGACTTGGTCTTCCACCTCTCATCTGCCTCTCTGATGTTTTTCACTCTACACTTTTCTCTCCCTTAATAAAAGAGATATTTTAAGCAAGAACACCAAAACACCTTAAACCACTAGCCCACCAGCTTGGATTACTAATTAGAGGTCAAAGCAATGCAAATATTTCTAGCTCACAACAGAGAAGCCACATGTTGGGCACCACTGGATGTATTTGTCCTAGTTCAGGGCAGATTTTGGAGAGAACTTCCCAAAGGGGCTTGTCTAGGAAAGCAGTACACAACAGAGAAGCCACTGGATGTATTTGTCCTGGTTCAGGGCAGATTTTGGAAAGAAGGTCCCAAAGGGGCTCCTCTAGGAAAGTAGTTCACAACAGAGGAGCCCCACCATGCGAGCCACTGCAGGTATTTGTCCTGGTTCAGGCCAGATTTTGGAAAGAACCCCCCAAAGGGGCTCCTCTAGGAAAGCAGTTCACAACAGAGGAGCCCCCCATTGAGTGCCACTGTGTATCTGTACTGGTTCAGGACAAATTTTGGAGAGAACCCCCCAGAGGGGCTCCTCTAGGAAAGTAGTTCACGATGGAGGAGCCCCACGTTGGGCGCCACTGGATGTATTTGTCCTGGTTCAGGGCAGATTTTGTAAAAAAACCCCCAAAGGGGCTCCTCTAGGAAAGCAGATTCAATTGTCCCCACCGCCCAACCCACCACCACAACCCTCCAGCAGTGACCATCCCTTTTCTCTCCCTGTCCTGCAGCAGCCCCTTCAATGAGCGGCCCATGTGCAGGATCTGCCACGAGGGCAGCAGCCACGAGGAGCTGCTGTCCCCCTGTGAGTGCACGGGGACCCTGGGCACCATTCACCGCAGCTGCCTGGAGCGCTGGCTGTCCTCCTCCAACACCAGCTACTGTGAGCTCTGCCACTTCAGCTTTGCAGTGGAGCGCAAGCCCAGGCCGCTGCTGGAGGTCAGTGCAACCCTGAAATCTCAGTTGTGGCTGGGAAAATTCCTGCCTGCTTCCATGCAGGCATCACAGAGGTTCTGTGGCTGCAATGGGGTTTGGCAATGTGAGGGTGGGAGCTCAGGGAAAGGGTGGGATGGGGCAGAACCCCTCCTTTTGGAGGGAATCAAAACCAAATTTTAAGGATCAGTGGGTTTGCTTCACTGCAAACCTGAGTGGTGGGTTTTTTGCAGCACATTCCTGGGATGCCAGCCAGCTTGGCTGAGGGTGGAAGAGAGGTAAGTTGAAGATTCTCTGGAATGTAGGGCAAGACTCTGGACTCAACATATTAAATATAGGTCAGAAATTCATTTATTTCTTCTTGCTTTTGAGAGGTAACAATCTTAGGAGCCTTGAAAACCCAGTTTACCTCTCAAGCCCCCAAGAAGGAATGGTTCTTGTTGAGCATCTCGTGTGTTTAGACATTTGTGAGTCACCTTTTGGCCTATTCTTGCCTATGTGCCAGTCTCAAAAGTGAACTGCACAATTATTTCTCCCTTATCAATGAAAATTCAGTTTTTGCCAACTATAGATAGCAGCTTCATGAAGTTTTCCTGGCTTTAGGGTGTTTTTGTTCCTCAGGAAAAGAAAAGAAACCAAAACAAGTTCACTATCTTGACACTGTTAATGACCTTTTCCCACCTTTATTTTATTTTGGGAAAAGATGAAACAAAGTTAGGAATTCTTTTGTAATTAAAAGTGAAATACAAGTAACACTTTGGCAAAATGAATGAGAAGAAGCATTTTGTACCTGTTGGTGACACAGGCACCTACATGCAGAGCTTGGCTTCAGGACAAAATGTCTTTCCTGTGCATCTTATCTGTTCCTTTAAACTGTGTCAGAGCCGCTGGAGGGAGGTACAGTATTAAAAATGGGTAGGGGGAAGCAGCATTTTGTTCTCCTCCTCCTGCTCACAGAGAAGAGGACACAGGACAGAATTGACTGCTGGGAGGTGGGTTGGGGGACGAGCAGTTCAACACTACCAAAATTGCTCTAATTGAGATAGGCATGCACATTTTGTGTCTGAGCCTGAGAATATCTTCCTTCTTCCTCAAGATCCCCCACAAAAGGTACATGACATGGCATTTAGCACCAGTCCTGCACCCAGAGCAGGCCCCGGCCAGCTGAAATTGGCTCCCTGTGTGTTGCTGCCTGGATCTCCTCTCAATCTTTGGTGCAAGAATATAGACGATATAAAAATGATGCCATTCTGAATCCACCCTCTGAGAGGAAAGACAAGTGATGCTGAGGCATCACAGTTTAATTTTAGAGTCCAGCTTCTGGAAATTGTTCCCTTTGTGATGGCTCCTGGTGAGGCTTGTGCTGCACAAATTGGATGTGGTGCTGGCCAGAGCTGCTGAGGATGGAAGGAGCTGAAAGCAAAGCTGACCCGGCCCAGGATGGGGCACTGTGCTTGCTTGGTTGTTCCCTAATGAAATGAGGCTTCTTTTTGGCAAAAGCAATAATAAGTAGTAGAAACGGCAGCAGTGATATTTAGAGTAATAATGGTAAACCTGCGAGTTGTTTCCTGTTTGCTGGGGACAGATGAAAACCCTGAGCAAGAACATTTTTGAAACATATTGAGATGTTTTTATCTTTACTCATTATTTCCTGACTTCTCAGCTTACACCCACAATATTTTAGTGCAGAAACCAACAGTTGGGTGCAGTTGCAGGAAAGGTCATAAAAAACCTCCAATCCTTTGTGATCTTATAAAGAGAATATGTTTTCAGTTTAGAAGGAAAATGAAGGTGTCCTTTCAAAGCTGAGAGCAGCAGAGAAAAAGAGTAACTAAAATGAACTATATGCCAGGAGGAAAATTAAGCAGAAATATAATCAAACTCCTTGATTTCTGCCAGTGTAATTTAAGTTTGTCCTGGACATTTCTGCTTATTTAATACACAGAGCTTTGAAACGCAGAGACCTCCCCATGCAAATAATAAATAAATAAAACCAAATTGCAGCAAAAATCTGAAACTTCCCAAAGCAGGACTAAAGCAGATGCAAGTTGCCAGATTCCCTCATCTTCTGTGTCCTAAAAGCACCTTTCTGTCTGTCTCTCTCTTACCGAGGGTGTGAGGACATGGCAGGAGGTTTATCCGGTGTAGCAGGACCTTTCCTCACAAAAACCCTGCTGTAACATTTGGATGAATGGCAAGCCAAAGTGGCCACCTGCTTTTAACACCCCAGATTGTGTAGGTTTAGGGGTGGGCTGTCAAAGTTCTCTTCATTTAGCAGTGAGGTGATTAGTTCTCCAAGGATTCCCCTGACCTAGATAATGGGAAGAGTAAATGGTCCTCCTCTCACTGGAGGTGAGTTATGAGTTTTACCAATGCATTTTAGTAGGTCAAGAGGGGCTATTGTGCTCATAAAGTGATTTATAGAGCACAGACTCTAAAAACCTACCCAGTAACTCCTCAACAGGCCCTGTCTCACAGAGTGAATGCATCCCATGCAGGGGTCAGTGACAGGTAGTGAGGAGATGCTCAAAGCAATCAGTCACCATATTGATCTTTTCTCTGAGAGATCTTCCACCAGGAAGGGGGAAAAATGTATTTCTGACTATTCCAAAATGTATTATACTCTTTTTCAAAGGGCCAAAAAAAACCCACACCAAGAAAAACAAAACAAAAACCCCAAACCAACCAACCAAATAAACAAACAAAAAACCCACCCAAAAAACCAACCAACCAACCAAAAAAAATCCCAAAATAACCAAACCCAAAAAACCAACCCAAAGACACAAAACCAACAAATCCACAAAACCAAACTAAAACAAAACAAAACAGACACTAAAAACCCCACCAAAATAGCCCCCAAAAAAACCAACAGAACAAAACAACCCCAACAAAACAAAAAATAACCATGCCTATTGTGTTTTCTCCTCATCCCTTCACTAGATTGATCACTGTCTCCTGGTGGCTTAGGCGTGGGTGTGGAAGAAATCTGTTTCAGTGGAAACAAATTGAGGCATTTTCCTAGTTTTCTCTAGAAATATCAAATGTGAATTTATTCCTGCGGCTAGCAGAAGAGGCTGCAGCAGCAGTGAGATTGAAATGGAACAAGTGGTGTGGCTGGTGGCTCAGCCAAATTCCTTAGTTGACCAGACACAACTCTGTGCTTCTGCTTTGTCTCTGCCACAGGATGTGTATTTTTGTCTGAGGGAGAATCTTCTCCCTGGAAATGCACAATTTGCTGGCTCTTTGATGGCCAAAACCCAACCAGAGCAGCAGGCAATGATGGTGCAGCCTGTCAGGCAGATCCAGCCCCTCAACAATGAATTTGTGATGCTTCTTCTTTAATTTCTTTTTTTTAACTCACATTATTCTTCCCAAAAAATTGTGTTTCCACCCTGGGAATGTGGTGATTAAAACCCTCCTTCAGTGTTCACAATGGTGCAGAATTCAGGGAAAGGAGTCTAGATCTGAACCCAGCCCTCCCCCCCCGACAAAGAGAAATCTATAATATGGTGGCTGATATGCACAGAGCTGATATTCCTTGTGACAAGCCAGCCAAAGACCTCAAAACCAGCACAGTGAAATCTCAAACTGCAGTAATTCCATTACTGACTTTTATGGACCTTCTAGTTCTATATAAGCTGCCATCAACTGCAGCCAATCCACAGGGAAAAAAAAAATCTGCATTAGGAATGTGTGGTATTATTCATGTGGCTGCTTTTGCTGAGTTTCAGCATGAAGATTAGTCAAGCTTTATGTAAGTATTATGTATCATCTTCATTTTCAATTTCCACATTGCATCTGTGTTGCTTCCACTTGACTCAGTGCAGAAGCAGGCTTGAAATGCAGCAGTACAAATATATTTATGCACAATAATAAAATGTTAGGGAACAGCCAGCTACAAAATAAAAATGGTATAAGAGTACTATGTGACCATATAAGTCAGGCTTGTATTGCTTGTAAGTTACTTACATGTTTTAAACCAGCCAGGATTTGGTATCTGTTGGTTCACTTTTTTTTTTTTTCTGCAAACAAACAGAAAGCACTTAATTAACAATACAGAGCTCATAAGCAAAACAGCATGACTAGGAGAAAAAATAAAGTCAGGATAATTACAGCAATATTGGGCAGAAATTAAATTCAGTTTTTCCCTGCTGTGTTGCTGGCTATAGAGCCTTTATGAGTAAGGTAAAATAAATTAAAAAACCCTCTAAAATGTACACCTATGCATGAAGTATTTAAGATGAGCTTACATTATAAATTAAAATCTCACGAAGCCTTACACTGAAATATGAATTCATTTCCTGTGCAAGACTTTGAGTCACGACGTTTTTATCTGTTGGGATTATTTTTACTTATTTTTCCTCTCCGCTGTTCAGTGAAGCAAGTCATTAGCATTAAATTACTGTAATGAACAGACACCAGATTTGCTGCAGGTAGTTTATAAAAGGATCACACCTCAAGTCAGAAAGAAAATAAATGGTTCCTCAGCACAGTCACCTACCAGGAAAACTTTCATAAATCAGAGTTTGGAGGAACTGTACTTGTCCATAAGTATATTAGGGCTGGGAGCAGATAATTAAGGCGTGTCCGTCTTCCTTCCTTTCTTGACCCAAAAAGAGCAGATTAAAAGGGCAAGGTGATAGAGACATTTTTGTACCTAGCTATCTTTGGCTATGAAAATAATCCCCCTAAGACCAACTCACACAGGGAGAATTGGAAGCAGACATGTAGATTTTCAGTAGAAGTATGTCTGAGTTAAAGCTGGTATTAAAAAAAAAAAAAAAAAAAAAAAAAGTAATAAACTCCCCAGCACAGATTTAAAACCATAAACTCTCCAAGATGTATTTTTTTTTTGATCTATTTATTCCTAATGGAGTGAAATCCAGAGACCAAACCAGAATGCTCTTTCTCCTTTAAAGAGAAATTAGGTAGCTGTTTTATGTTCCCTGCAGCAAGGATTTGCTACAATGCACAAATCTTTCTTATAGTACTGGCAGCAAGAGTGC